GGTTTGCATTTGCATATTCAGAAGAAGTCTCTTCAAGATAGTATTTGCCAGTGGGTACTAACTTCTTTCTGAACAACCACTTAGAAGAGTCAGCCAGCACAGGTGGTTCACGCCTATAATCCTAGCTACTCAGGAGGCAAAGATCAAGAGGATCACAGTTTGAAGCCAGCCTTGGCGAATAGTTTGTGAGACCCTGTCTCGAAAAAACCTTGAGTGGCTCAAGGTGAAGGCCCTGAGTTCAATCCCCAGTACTGCAAAAAAAAAAAAAAAAAAAAGAAAAAGAAAAGTCACAAGTGAAAGGAATATTTGAGAGTAGGCCTCTATAATCTATGCAAAGGGAGAGCTATAATTGTACCTAATGGAAAATTAGAAAAACAATAAGTGACTTATTTTGCTTGATTGTTGTGTTTCTTTAAGTGCATAAATTTCACATTTTGTATTCAATTGAAAGGCAAATGCATATGTCAACTTAAAAACAACTGTTACCATTTTCTATCAGTTTTTTTCTTTGATGCTTCTTAAAACCCTCACTAATTTAGTTAAATGTCATCTTCAAAATGAAGATTCTTTTAGCCCTTGCCAGGTTTGTCTTTTTAAATTATCTGTCATTCATCATTGAAAAGTTTGCTGTTTCTAAATTATCACTAATTATTTTCTTTTATACTTACCAGAGTAAGCCGACACTCAAAAATCAGCAGTGAGTCCTTTTCATATCTAGACTCCAAATTAATTAGTTGTATTTTATAATAAGAAATGTCTGTATATATGAGTAAACTGTGGAGTGTTTTTATAACTCCCTCACTAGGTACAGGAACAAATGAGGGATTAAGAACAATGAAAATAACATTTGTATAGTGCCTCACAGTATATAAAATATTTTCACATATATATGAAATATATATGGCCACTCTATGAAGGAAGGATCACTATTTTATTCTTATGATGTTGTTATACATAGACTTCTACAGGGAGAAGACCATCCATTTGATCCATATATTGAGGCAGGCTAGATAAAGATCAAACAACAGGGAAATTAAAAATAATAAATATTAAAAAGTCCAGACTCAGAAATTAAAACACAAGCAAAAAGTAAAAACTGAAAAATCAGGGGCTGGGAGTTCAGCTCACTGGTAGAATACTTGACTAGCAAGTACAAAGTTCTGAGTTTGAGTACCACACACACACACACACACACACACATGTCATTGATAAGAGTGAAATTCCACATTGCAACTAACCTTTGAAAAACTACCACTTGTCAAAACTGAAAGAAATCAGAGCAGCAAGCTCCCCTCCTATCACCTTCTCCTTTTAAATGTTATGCTACAAGAATAGGGAGACATAAAGGGGATATTTATACCTGTCTTCCCCTTTTAGCTGCTAAGAAACGGCAAACTCTTTTGATAGAGCGAGACAGAAAATTAAAGGGCATGTCTGGCAAAGGGATATCCTGAAACTCAGAACCAGTTGTCTCTGTGTTTTGGGTAAACCTAGTCAACATATCCATTCATGTTTTACAATAATAATTAGAGTGAGTAATAAGCCCACTCTGAACCCATTGTCTCTAATAATTAGGGGTTGCTAGATGACATGAATGGGATATATTCTCCCAATTTGGAAAATATAAAAACCCCCAGATAACAAGCACCATTTTGAGTCTTCTTTACTCCCATTTCCTGCATGAATATTTCTCTCTAATGTTTCTATTTCTCCCCCCCCCACTGAATCTTGTTTTGTTAAAATAAATCCTTGCTAAAGATCTACCTTGTGAAACTCTTTTTTGCATGACCCCTTGAAATGCTTTTCTCTGTGGATCCCAAGTTCCAAGGACTGCTTCATCCTTTCCTTCCTCTGGTAACAGAAATTGGGAAGCTAAGTCAAAGAAATTTTCCCTTTCTCCCTTATTGGAGAAAATTCTCCTTGACTATTTCCTTTCTCCAATAGCACTATGTTTGCAGTGATGTTTCTGTTCCAATGTCAAACAATTTGGAAAATGTGCTCTTCCAGGAAAACACAGACAACTACTAGTATTAATTAAAAAGCTTGCAAGCCTTAGCTGTAAACTATGACCTGCAAGTTCTAGTGTCATAAGATGAATATGTAAATCGAGCAAAGGTGTAAATTGGGTGGATTTCCATAAAGAATTAGAACATTTGTGCATAAAATATGAACATTTTAGAAAGATAGAAACTCTGTGCTAAACAAAACATGTGTGCATGTTCATATGTAACCTCTGCTCCACACCAGCAGAACATGAGATATGAAAGAAGAAATAGAGTAGAACACAGAAACATAAGGAGATGAGATGAAAAATGGTTTGGGTCACAGGAACTGAGCCTATTAGAGACTGAAATACAGAGAGCAAGACTGATAAATATTATTGATGCCCACCCAAGATCAATAACTTCCTAGTTTTTTCCTTGGACACAGTTTTGTTGCAACGTAAGTACTACAGTGTTAAGAACACTACACAGGTGTGGCCCAAACTAGTCTCTTTAGTCAGTTTCCTTATCTATTCAATGGACATAAGGATGGGATTATATGATAAGAGTTGTGAGATTAGATGAGAACATGATGAAATCTTGGCAGAGCTACTTTCACACTATAAGTGCTAAATAAATTCTAGGCATTGCCATCATTCTCACAATTACTGGAATGATTTCCTTACCCATTCTCTTAATTTCTTCTTAGTATATACTAAAGATCAAAATTAACTTTCCGGATTGCATGTTAAGAAACCTCAGAGAGGCTGGACAAGGTGTCACATGCTTGTAGTCACAGCTACTCAGGAGGCAGAGATTGGGAGGATAATGGTTCAAGGTCCGTCCAGGTAAAAAATTAGGGACACTTGACCAACAAACCAGGCATGGTGGTACATGCCTATGAGGCCCCTATGTAGAAGGCACAGGTAAGAGGACTGCAATCTGGAGCCAGCCCAGGCAAAAGTGCAAGATCCTATCTGAAAAATAACTAAAAAGAGGCTGAAGGTGTGTCTCAAGTGGTAGAGTACCTACCCAGCAAGCACAAGACTCTGAGTTCAAGACCCCAGTATTGACAAAAAAGGAAAGAAAGGAAGAAGGAGGAGGAGCAGGAGGAGCAGACTCCTCGAAGAAGTCCTTGCCAGGGGAAAAGTAGGGCTCTTTCTTTTTACTCAAATAATATCAACAACCCCAAACCAAATACAGAAGTGTCCCCTTTCTCTGGGGACACTTTCTCAATAAGCTCCAATAGTATCTTTTCTTTAAAATGTAAAGGCTTTGGGTAAATGATATCCCTAGAATGACCCAAGAATTTAGTTCAGCTAAGTGCATTGATTGAGCATCTTAAATATGCAGACAGTGTGCTCAGTTTCTGAAAATATAAGATAAGAGATGAGGGTGTCTGAACTTGAAACCCTGCCTTGTCTGAAGTAATGGTGATGCAAAGACAAACGTCGTCTGAATCCTCACTCTGATGTGTGCTTTTCCCTCTACCTCTTTCAGTGGGACTTGGAAAGCACTGTGGAAAAGTACTGGTTAACATGCTGTGAAGACTGAGGAAAGATTCATCCTGATTCTTCAAAATCTAGTTTTAGTCCTTTGTCTTCTAGGAAGCATTCCACTCCATTTTGATCCTTTACTTACTTGAAATACCTTGAAAGTTCCTATTTTATCATTTTGGGCCTTAATCATTTCCAATCTAATGTGGAAACTTAGTTGTTTCCTGGATATATGGTCTATATACTCAACCAAATTGCAGTAAGCCCTCTGAGGAGTAGGAAGCATGCTGTTTTGAGCCATGTACAACACTGTGTCTACATTGATTTGTAAAACAGAATATTTTATTGTGCCCTGATGGAAGATCGGTAGAAAATGAACCACAAGTAATAGCTGCAATTGTTGAGATTTTATTATAACAAAGGTACTTATGTTGCATAACACTTGAGAAATTTTGCATGCAATTTAACCATTTATGTTAGATTAGAGGCAGCAAAATGGTAGACCTATATTTTTTAAATGATAAGCATTTTAATTTTTAATCAACATTTATAATTTTGGTCCTGTTATATAACTGATGGTAACAACTTGCACTTACTTGCAGGGTAACAGAGTATATATTTGATTGCCCCACCAATGTAGAGTCACAGCTAGAGAAAACTTGTAGTGATCATGCATTCGATTCAATATCATGTACAAAGATGGCTGGAATGGCAAATAGTAATCTACAAACTCACAATCACCAGTTTGCATTATGCTAATTTATCCTCTAAACCTGCTTCCTAAATGTTGTTACTGAAACTCAAAGAAAAAGTATGTTTGTTAACATAAATGTTTGTTTTGAAAGAGAATAAAGAATAGCTAACAATGAAAAAATGACTTATTTGAAAACCAGTAAATCAGTAGATTGAATCCAATATTATTTACTTCCAATATCTAATATGCCACCACTCATGTCAGATTTGGTTCATTTTATCTTTCCTATCTTTCATATCTGTCTGCTCCTTTCATTTTGTACTTTCCACTAGAGAAATTCTGCTTTTCATTACTTCTGTCTCATTTACTGCTGCAACTGCCTCACCAAGTTCTTGACTTTCCCTTCACGTTGATCTTTTATGAGATGCTACATGACTCTTTCTATATTGCAGCTTCAAATGGTTGGTATTCAACTCAGACATCCTCAGTACCCCCTTATTGCTTATGGGACAACATCTAAACTACTTTATTCCAGCATGCACTGATTTCTGGGTTCTTGTTCCAGTTTTCTGTACTTCTTTCTCAATGGTCAGCTTCATATACTATACATAATACATACATTTATACATTTTGTACACTAAAATGAAATTAATTATAGTTTCTATATAGAACTTTAACTTTCTGATTTCTATTTGATTAATGTCTTCCTTAAGCCTCGGATGTTCTCCCAAAGTTATCCATTCTTCACAAACAAACTGCATCTTCAATGAATCTGTCTTAAAAGTCCTAGTCAGTTATACAATTCTAAGTTCATTTAGAAAAAAATACCTTTTCAAATCACGGTGTGCAATCGGCTGTGTCAGGTTGTGAAGGTACTCCATACCTTTGGCAACATCTACTGCGATGATTAATTTAGACTGCAAGTCAAGAATCCTGGAATTAAAAATAGATTTAATAGAGATGGAATGGTTAAAATGAATACCATATCTTTTAAAAGAAATTAAATGGTACATGTGTTTGCTATTCTGTATAATTTTACCCCATATTTCTTTATTGCAGATTAAGCTAAAAATTCAACAAATCTTAAATAATAGCTTTCTATATCAGAAAATAATTATAGGTCAATTCAGATATATAACACATTTAAAAATATTATATTTGATTTTCCAATTTATTTTTAATACTATATTGAAATTCTTTGTAATTATGTAAAACTGGAATCATTTAGTCACTGAATGAAACTACGTTCTGATTATTTTGTGCATTGATCTAAGAAAAGGATCCAAATTAGACTTGTGCAAGATCATTCTTTTTAAAAAATTCAAAAAAAAACCCCCTTTCTTTTGTACATATTGTGCCTTGGTGGTTGCATTATTTTGAGCTGACATATTTACTTTATTGGTATGTCAAATTTAGCCTTATTATTATAAGCTTCAGTTACCAATTTAAATTCTTTGAATTTGTTAACTTTAACTGACTTCCTGTTAAGAAATTATAGAACAATTTCTATTCCTTAAAATAAAATAATTAGACAATTAATGCTGGGTGCTCATGCCTATAATCCTAGCTAGTCAGGAGGCAGAGATCAGGATGATTGTGGTTCGAAGGCAGCCCAGCAAACAGTTCATGAGACCCTCTCTCAAAAGAGCCCAACACAAAATAAATATGGTGGAGTGGCTTCAGTGATAGAGTGTCTGCCTAGCAAGCTGACGTCTTGAGTTCAAACCCCAGTACCACTAAAACAAACAAATAACAACAACAAAAAGCCTCAGAAGTGCTACAAGGGGAGTTCCAGTGACATGTACAAGTATCTGTCAGAACAAGGGACCGTACCTCTTTTGTTCATGAAGGAGCGAGAACAGAGAACCTCCAGATATGTACTGAGTGACCATGGCAAACTGGCTGGGATCATTCAAACAAGCACCCACAAACTGAATTACACAGGGATGGTTGAGCTGGCAGAGAATGGACACCTCTCGGCAAAACATATCCACATCTGACTTGGAGCAGTAGGTGTTGGCTCGATAACTAGAAATGGTGGCAATAGGAAATTCTCATAGCTGTATGCATATGAGGGACTGGCCATACAGATGCTTCTCAAAGGTCACAGCTCCCATCCATATGCTAAACTTTTTCATTTGCTCGCTTACCGTTTTATAGCCACAATTTTGTTTCTACATCGTCCTTTATATACTTTCCCGAAAGAACCTAAAATTAAGAGAAATAATAAACAACATATTATCTTGATTTTGTTAAAGTAAAGCAGACCTATATTATCTTAGATTACCTGAGCCGATAACCTCATGGAACTCAATTTCTGAGAGCTGAAGATGGAAATGTGAGGGCAATCCAGCCCTTAGGAGGAGAACATCTGCCTTCTCTGCAAACAGGAATTGTAATTTTAGTTTTTAAGATAAGAAGAACACACGTGGAAGTGTACACTCACATGTAAACATACACTTAACCCAAAACATTGTTTTTCTGTGATGTTTTTGAATGTAATTGGCTAGTTGGAGATACTAAAACCTTATCACAAATTATGCCTGCCCCTGGCATTGGAAGCTTATTAGTTTCCTGCACACCTTTGCTCCACCTTTGTTATCAGGGCTGTCAGTTTATTACTGATCTGAACACCAACCACCTTGCTTTTGTGACATTAAGATCCTCAAGTATAATTTATGTCACAGCATGATAAAGGCTCTTATCTGGTCAATCCCTTCAGTCTATATCAATTGGCTATGTCAAATATATATTGATAAACTAAACTTCTATGGGATGTGGGAAATAAGCATGCAAATTATTTGAGAAAACACTCCCAAAACAAGTAGATCCTTTTAAAAGCCTTTTAATTTCAAATAGTTAAATAGAAATTTACCATGGAATCATATTTTGTACTTTCTTGTTCCAGTGATAGTAATTTCAGCATGCAAGAAACATTCAAAAAAGTTCCCAAAGTATTACTTGAGAAATTTGAAAAATAATTTATGTTTTTGAATATTTTCTAAGGTAATTCCACTTCTAATTTCTCTAAAGGAAATATTAATATTTGTAATTTATATTTTATTTTAAAATAAGAATATCTAGATAGCACTATAAGAATGTGATCTTTCTTTAATACTCATCAAATTTTCACTGTTATATCTTAATTAACTGAAAGGGTATATAATGTTATATAACTTATGAGAAAGATGGTTTATTGGTAATACTGTCTATGCTTATAAAATAGTCATCATTTGTAATAAACAAGACAAAATAGAAAGTTATCATATTCAGATAATAATTATACTTAATAATAAAACATAACAATCATCCCATTTTTATGTACCTTTTGTCATGCTTTTAATCTTCCCCAAGGGGGATGGCACAGACACATAGGAGCCATCTAGAAATCAAATTATACAAGAGAGTTGAAAGAAGCAATAATTTTTTTCCTTCTTAAAAGTTCAACCTTATAAAAAGAAACAAGCGATGAAATCAAGGATAACTATAGTTTAAAGCTAAGATCCTTCTTGGGATACTGAAAATGTACTATAAATGTTTATCTAGAAAGTACATAAAAAGACTTTTTTAAAAAAATCCAATTTGTAGCAGACTCCAGCAGATTCAATTTGTGTCTGACTATGAGTATTCTCAGCCCTACCTTAGCAGATCACTGAAATGAAAAATGACTATTCTCAGTTTACCCAGGCCTTCCTAGTCTTACACAAACCTCCAGCCCATTCAGTCTAGGGACTACTTACTTTGGAGGAATGACAGATTGATGAGCTAAATCTAAATAGAGACATTTTTATGTTCATCCTCATGCAGGTATAGATTTTCTGAAAATAAGGCTAAACTAACATAGGTCATTTCCTTCTCCTTTGCCCCTAAATGAGAGTAACAAAAGCACAGGTTTACCTTTAGATGCAATATTACACAGCAATGAAAACTAAATTTAAAAGAGGGAGATACCTCCTCCAGGTTGAGAATATTCATTGCAAGACAATTCATCCTGGGGTCTCTTGTAATGCTTCAGGAGTGTGACAATAGCATCATGTCCTTTATGAGAAGACAAAAATAACGAGTCTTAATTTAAGTTTGATTTGCTCAGTGAACTTTCAATCTAAAAATAACTTACTGGAGGTGCTTACAACATAGACCATTTCTTCAGAGATACTTTCATTCATTCATTCAAAGTAATTTATTAAAACTTGACTATATGTGAGGCTCTATTTTAGCTGTAGGTATTGGTGTTATAATGAAGAAGGTGACTGTGGTCCTTCTCCAGTCCCACCCATTTACCTGAAAATGAAAAAAATTCATTCTTCTTTGTGGCTGAGTAATATTCCATTGTATATAAGTACCACATTTTCTTAATCCAGTCATCAGTACTGGTATATTTTAGCTGTTTCTATAGCTTACTGATTGTGAATAGTGCTGCAATAAACATGGGTGTGCAGATGCCTTTGTTGTAAACCAACTTACATTCTTTGGGTATATCTCTAGAAGTGGAATTACTGGATCATAAGATAGTTCTACTTTTAGTTTTTTGAGGAGTCTTCATACTTTTTTTTCCATAATGGTGGTACTAATTTACATTCCCACCAACTGCTTATGAGAATGGCTTTTTCCCATTTTTGCCAAAATGTGTTGTTGTGTATGTTCTTGATGGTAGCCATTCTAACAGAAGTGGGTGAAATCTTAACATGGTTTTGAAAAAAATCTTCCATAAAATATTAGCAAAACAAATTCAACAGCATATCAAAAAGATAATACACCATGATCAAGGAATTTCATCCCAGGGATGCAGGGATGGTTCGACATACACAAATCATTAAACATAATGCAGCATATTAACAGAATCAAAGGCAAAAACCTCATGATCATCTCAATAGATGCAGAAAAAACCTTTGATAAAAATAAAATTCAACATCCCTTCATGATAAAACTAGGAATAGAGGACTGTACCTCAACATAATAAAGGCTATATATGACAAGCCTATAACCAACATTATACTAAATGGCGAAAAACTGAAACCATTTCCTCTAATGTCAAGAATGAGACAAGGGTGTCTAACCTCTCCACTCCTATTCAACATAGTCTTGGGATCCCTAGCCAGAGCAATGAGGAAGAAATAAAAGGAATACAAATTGGAAAGAAAGTAGTCAACTATCCCTATTTTCAGATGACATGATCTTATACCTAAGACCCAAAAAACTCCACAAAAACACTCCTAGACACTATTAACAGCTTCAGAAATCTAGCAGGATACAAAATCAATTTACAAAAATCAGTGGCCTTTCTATACACCAATAATGAACAGATTGAGAAAGAATATAGGAAAATAATTCCATTTACAACAGTCTTACAAAAAATAAAATACCTGGGAATAAACTTAACAAAGGGTGTAAAAGATCTCTATAAAGAAAATGATAAACTACTAAAGAAAGAAATAAAAAAACTACATAAGATGGAAAGACCTCCTATGCTTATGGATTGGTAGAATCAACATAGTAAAAATGGCCATACCACCAAAAGCAATCTACATGTTCAATGCAATTCCTATCAAAATTCCAATGGCACTCATGACAAAGATTGACAAATCAACCCTAAAGTTTATTTAGAAGCACAAAAGAATGGACCTAGTTGATGTCTACAGAACATTTCATCCAGCTTCTACACAATATACATTCTTCTCAGCAGCCCATGGAACCTTCTCCAAAATAGATCATATCCTAGGGCACAGAGCAAGCCTCAGCAAATATAAGAAAACAGAAATTATACCGTGCATACTATCTGATCACAATGCAGTAAAACTAGAACTCAACAAAAAAAGTAACGAGAAAAAACATGCAAACAGCTGGAAACTAAATAACTCATTACTTAATGAAAAATGGATCATCGATGAAATAAAAGAGGAAATTAAAAAGTTCCTGGAAGTCAATGAAAATGAAAACACAACCTACCGGAACACAGCTAAGGCAGTCCTGAGTGGAAAATTTATAGCCATGAGTGCATATATTAAGAACACTGAAAGATCCCAAATCAATGACCTAATGATACATCTCAAACTCCTAGAAAAACAAGAACAAGCAAATCCCAAAACAAATAGGAGAGAAAATATAAAAATAAGAGCTGAAATCAACGAAATAGAAACCAAAAAAACCATACAAAGAATTAATGAAACAAAAAGTTGGTTCTTTGAAAAAATAAACAAGATCGATAGACCCCTGGCAAACCTGACTAAAGTGAGGAGAGAAAAAACCCAAATTAGTAGAATCAGGAATGCAAAAGGGGAGATAACAACAAACACCATGGAAGTCCAGGAAATCATCAGAGACTACTTTGAGAACCTATATTCAAATAAATTTGAAAATCTTAAAGAAATGGACAGATTTCTAGATACATATGATCATCCAAAACTGAACCAAGAGGAAATTAATCACCTGAATAGATCTATAACACAAAATGAAATTGAAGCAGCAATTAAGAGTCTCCCCAAAAAGAAAAGTCCAGGACCTGATGGATTCTCTACTGAATTCTATCAGACCTTTAAAGAAGAAATGATACCAACCCTCCTTAAACTGTTCCATGAAATAGAAAGCGAAGGAAAACTGCCAAATACATTTTATGAAGCCAGTATTACACTTATCCCAAAACCAGGCAAAGACACCTCCAAAAAGGAGAACTATAGGCCAATCTCCTTAATGAACATCGACGCAAAAATCCTCAACAAAATAATGGCAAACCAAAAAGATTATTCACCACGACCAAGTAGGCTTCATCCCAGGGATGCAGGGGTGGTTCAACATACGAAAATCAATAAACATAATAAACCACATTAGCAGAAGCAAAGACAAAAACCACTTGATCATCTCAATAGATGCAGAAAAAGCCTTTGATAAGATCCAACACCATTTCATGATAAAAGCTCTAAGAAAACTAGGACTAGAAGGAAAGTACCTCAACATTATAAAAGCTATATATGACAAATCTACAGCCAGCATTATACTTAATGGAGAAAAACTGAAACCATTCCCTCTAAAATCAGGAACCAGACAAGGATGACCACTATCTCCACTCCTATTCAACATAGTACTGGAATTCCTAGCCAGAGCAATTAGGCAAGAAGAAGGAATAAAAGGAATATAAATAAGTAAAGAAACTGTCAAAATATCCCTGTTTGCAGATGACATGATCCGATACCTTAAAGACCCAAAAACTCTACTCGGAAGCTTCTAGACATCATCAATAGCTATAGCAAGGTAGCAGGATATAAAATCAACATAGAAAAATGATTAGCATTTCTATACCCTAACAATGAGCAAACTGAAAAAGAATGTATGAAAACAATTCCATTTACAATAGCCTCAAAAAAAATCAAATCCCTAGGTGTAAACCTAACAAAGGATGTGAACGACCTCTACAAGGAAAACTATAAACTTCTGAAGAAAGAGATTGAGGAAGACTATAGAAAGTGGAGAGATCTCCCATGCTCATGGATTGGTCAAATCAACATAGTAAAAATGTCTATACTCCCAAAGGTAATCTACATGTTTAATGCAATTCCCATCAAAATTCCAATGACATTCATCAAAGAGATTGAAAAATCTAACATGAAATTTATATGGAAACACAAGAGGCCACGAATAGCCAAGGCAATACTCAGTGAAAAGAACAATGCTGGAGGTATCACAATACCTGACTTCAAACTATATTACAAAGCAATAACAATAAAAACAGCATGGTACTGGCACAAAAACAGACATGAAGACCAGTGGAACAGAATAGAGGACCCGGATATGAAGCCACACAACTATAACCAACTTGTCTTTGACAAAGGAGCTAAAAATATACGATGGAGAAATAGCAGCCTCTTCAACAAAAACTGCTGGGAAAACTGGTTAGCAGTCTGCAAAAAACTGAAACTAGATCCATGTATATCACCCTATACCAATATTAACTCAAAATGGATCAAGGATCTTAATATCAGACCAAACTCTAAAGTTGATACAGGAAAGAGTAGGAAATACTCTGGAGTTAGTAGGTATAGGTAAGAACTTTCTCAATGAAACCCCAGCAGCACAGCAACTAAGAGATAGCATAGATAAATGGGACCTCATAAAACTAAAAAGCTTCTGTTCATCAAAAGAAGTGGTCTCTAAACTGAAGAGAACACCCACAGAGTGGGAGAAAATATTTGCCAGCTACACATCAGACAAAGGACTGATAACCAGAATATATAGGGAACTTAAAAACTAAATTCTCCCAAAACTAATGAACCAATAAAGAAATGGGCAAGTGAACTAAACAGAACTTTCTCAAAAGAAGAAATTCAAATGGCCAAAAACAATGAAAAAATGCTCACCATCTCTAGCAATAAAGGAAATGCAAATTAAAACCACACTAAGATTCCAGCTAGAATAGCCATCATTACCAACACCACCAACAACAGGTATTGGGGAAAAAAGAACCCTCTTACATGTTGTTGGGAATGTAAACTAGTACAACCACTCTGGAAAAAAATTTGGAGGCTACTTAAAAAGCTAACATTGATCTACCATTTGATCCAGCAATACCACTCTTGGGGATATACCCAAAAGACTGTGACACAGGTTACTCCAGAGGCACCTGCACACCATGTTTATTGCGCACTATTCACAATAGCCAAGTTATGGAAACAGCCAAGATGCCCCACACTGACGAATGGATTAAGAAAATGTGGTATCTATACACAATGGAATTTTATGCAGCCATGAAGAAGAACGAAATGTTATCATTCGCTGGTAAATGGATGGAATTGGAGAACATCATTCTGAGTGAGGTTAGCCTGGCCCAAAAGACCAAAAATCGTATGTTCTCCCTCATATGTGGACATTAGATCAAGGGCAAACACAACAAGGGGATTGGACTTGAGCACATGATAAAAGCGAGAGCACACAAGGGAGGGGTGAGGATAGGTAAGACACCTAAAAAACTAGCTAGCATTTGTTGCCCTTAACGCAGAGAAACTAAAGCAGATACCTTAAAGCAACTGAGGCCAATAGGAAAAGGGGAC